GACGACCACTCATGGGACCCTAAATAAAAAGTCAAATATTTGGTCACATGGTAAATTCATGACAAAAGAAGTCATAGAAGGGTTGGGGTGAGGATTATGGTTTGTAGAGGGGCCAGGAATCAGGGAGGACTTCCTGGAGGAAGGCTATTCAGGAAGGAAAGCTCTGAGGACCGTGGATTTCTCAGGATCTCCTGCGCTAGGCTGGGATCAGTTCTCCATTTACAGTTCACTCCGTAGGCAGCAGAGTCATGAAGACAACTGGGGAGGCCACGATTCTATCTGCAGTTGAGAAAAGTGACTCTGGGACCTGTACAAAGAATGAGGGAGGGAGATGGAGGTGCGAGATAGGTTATAGGAGGGTGTGTCAAAGAGGCAGGGAAAGATGGTGATGGCCGCACCCACGCTCTTCAGTGAGATTCCCCGGTAATGGGAAGCCCAGGCAAAACAGTTTCTTTCCTTCTGTTCACGGTCGAGAAAAGTTTTCTTGGAACATTTGGCCCGTTATCAGAGATCCTGCAGCCCAGGGGATGAGAAAAGCAATGCCTACAAGGCAGCATGGGACTTGCCAAGCAGAGACACGTAGAGAGTTTTGACAGGAGACCACGGGGAAGGGTGCCAGGAGGGCTGTGACGTCCATCCACCAACTCTGTATGTGATGGAACTGCGAAGAAGACCACAACCCCATCCCATGAGTCACCTCTGCTGCTACACATTGCTCCCAGAAAGAGGGGAAAGGGGTCACGGTGGCCTCCCAGGGCAGCACATCTGCAGAGTTCTCTGGCCCGAGGTCAGCAGCCACCTTCTCCCCCAGGCTTCTTGGCTAATAAGCCATGTGCTTCTTCCATTTCATCCCATTGAATCTGGATCCCAGCAGAGCCTAATGAGGAGGATGGTGGTGCCCATTATACAATGATAATGTGTGGGCAAGGACTCCCTGGGGTGCCCCTGACAATGACTTCCCTCAGAGGGCACTGAGGCCCGGGCAGCTGTGGGGATGCTACTGTGGGTCAGGCAGGGGATGTGTGTGGGGAGGACCCATCTCAGGCAGGGGGAGACTTCCAGGATGGCGGAGTTGGTCTGTAGATCACTTGGGGAGGGCTGCACCACTCACCAAAGCAACGCTGAGAGCCACAGAATGCTAATCAGACTCAGACATCAGGATCTAAGACGATAACCGAGATGCAGAAAACACAAAATAACCAGGCAGCCTTTGTAATTAACTTCCACTCCCTTCCAGCAGTCATTTGGAGTTAATGGTTTCTTAATTCAGTGCTCATTTGGTGACTTTTAATTTCCAATTAATTCTGCCGATTTTCCTCTGAGGCACTCATGGTGTGATAGAAAATTCCTGCATGGTGAAATCCCCACCCCAAGGGACCTGGAGGGAGTGGCAGAGGGAGAGGCTGAGATCAGACTTCTGCAAGAAGGCTGGAGCCCTGCCTAAGTGCCAGGAGTCTGAGGCTGTGGGTTCAGGGGTCCTTGGAAGCTTGGGGGTCCTCAGAAGAGCCCTCCTCTAAGAAGAGACTGGCAAGAGCTAACAAGGTGGTGCCAAGGAGGAGGATAGCCTTGAATTTCTCCAGCTCTTCCTGGGAGTTTTGACTTACACAGTACGCGTAGAAGAGGAAGCCCAGCCCAGCTGGAAGTAGAAAAGTCAAGACCAAGGACAACATTTTTCCCTTCTGTCAATCAAAATTGAAGGGATTGAGACGTCTTTGTGCTCTAGGCCAACACCCCTGGCACCGCTGGCACCACTGGCACCATGGAGCCCCCCTTTGCTGGGCCAGCACATCCTGTAGACAAAGACTGAGTGGTACAGGCAAAAGTCTGCACCCCCTCCCCTTAGTCCCCTTAACCCCTTGCATTAAGGTACCACTGACTGTGGGGGTCAGTTGGTGTCCAGACAGGTGCCAAAGAGACCATGTCCTTACTGAAGTCATTTCTTCCCTCTGAGGATTCCCACAATAAATCCCACACACCAGAGTCTGTATCCCCAGCTCAGCTTCTTGGAAGCAAACCACAATAGCACAAAATATATTAAACTCTGATCTAATTCTTATGGTGTGCCAGACACTGTTCAGGGTCCTGTACAAAAAGAATTTCATTCCATCCTCCTAGCAACCCTAGGAGACAGTCAGTATCTCAATTTTGAAGTAAGAAGATGGAGCCATGGAGAGCTTAGGGGACTTGCCCAAGGTCAGTGTCAGTTGTAAATACAGAACAGGAACATGAATCCTGGCTACCTGGTTCCAGGTGGTACCCTCAAGTACTATGCCACCCAAGGTGGGCCTCAGTAACCATGGCTTCCAGTAACTTCCCCGAATATTTGGGCCATTTAGTTCAAGAGCCTGAGCCCCTGGGGGTGAGGAATAGGGAGCCTTTGTTAGGAGACTGAAGGACAGGGAGATCTAAAGCCCTGGAGCTCTGGCCCCATGGTACAAGAACATGATTTTAGGCATACTCAGGGATGGCCCCAAAGATCAAAAGCCTGGTGCAGAGGGACAAATGTTACAGCACAGGCCAGACACCTAGATTCTGGTGCTCACTATGTCTCTGGATCCCTTTGTGATGTGGACAAATCATTTTCCTTAGTGGGCTCATGCAACATCAGCTCTACTTGCATAGGAGTTAATGACCAAGTCTTGATCAGCCCAGCTCTAACTTTTGGTTTGATGAAGTGGGAACATGGCCTTTCTGAGGGGATCCACCATCAAGAAGGAGGGACTGTGGAAAGCAGGGGAGGCACTTTCTATATCCTCCTGGCATCCATGGCTCTGTCCCCAAGAGTTGGGGGGAGGGGCCACAAGGCTACAGAAGAAGCTGGGTCACGATAACCATGCACTGCCCATTGATGGGACATTCATTCATCAACAACCATGTATGAGCCACTTGGGTAGAGACCTTCTAGCGAGGTCTCTGCACATGTGATTCACATCTCCCAGCACTGGAGGCACAATGCCATCAGCACTGCCATCACAGCAAGGCTATCGTCCACTGGTCTTGCCCTACCCACCCTAAGCACAAGTGACTTTTGGACTCTCCATGGGGTGTCTGTGCAGCCACAGAAGGGGATGCCACCCCTGCACCCTTCAAGTTGCTGGTCCACAAGGGGCCATGAGTGTGATGTTCTTTGACCTTCATTGCTCTTCCAAGAGAGTCCCTGAGGCAGGGCCAGGGCCAGGGCCAGGGAAGGTGATGAGGAACTGTGAACAGAGCAGTACAAATATTTCTTCTTTCCTTGTCCCCCACTTCCTCCTCCTCCTCCTCCAGACTGGGACAAGATCACATCCAAGGGCAGCCAGGGAGGCAGAGTGGAGACAGGGCCACATTCTCTCTGCCATGTCCCTTCTCAGTCCTTCCTCTTCCCAGAGCACCAGTCCTCAGAAATGTCTATGGAAGGAGCCGCTGCCAGACCAACCCTTCCTGTGCTGGGAAGCTCCAGGCCCGTGGCCGGGGCCACCACAGCTGTGGCTGTCACAGGTCCCAAGCCCCTAACTGGCAGGAGCTGCAAAGTCCAGTGAGCCAAGGCTAGTTTTTCATTTTTCTAATGGTGTGAGTAGACAAATCATCCCTTCATGCACAAGGACATGAGCTGTACTCCTAGAGCCAGGGCCAGTGTGGCATTTCATGCAGCCTAGGCCCACCTGTGTGGCTGGAAGTCAGATTGAAGCCCCTGCCTCTGCTCCCAGCTCTCTCACCCTCCCCATGCTGCACAAACTCAGCTCTGACCACATCCTTCTAATAAAAAACGGTCAGAGCCTCCAAGCCTTAGGAATCTGAATGGGTCCCTTGGCATCTGAGGGCTTCCATGCTCTGGCTCTGAATCATCTTCGCTTTAATCACAGACTCCATTTGAACCAAACTTGCCCATTGCCACCAGGCCCAGGACCTTTGCACTTGACATTCTCTCATTCCCTCTCCTATCCTTCCATCTCTTCCTGTGGAAATTTAGCTTTTGCTGGGGAACCTGGGACTTAAGGACGACTCTGGCCACAGGTTACTGACACCGAGGCTGGCAACATTCTTCTCTCTCCCTCGATCCCATTCTCTACTCCTCTGCCTCTGTCTCCCTGGATCCCAGTGAACATAACACAATTGTAATTGTCAGAGAGTTCCACGTCCTCTTCCAGCCACCTAGATGAGTGATTCTCAAACTTGGAGATCATCAAATCAGCTGAAACATAGATTGCCAGGCCCCACCGTCAGCGTCTCTGATTCAGGAGGTCTGGAGTAGAGCCCAGGGATCTGTGTTTCGTGGTACCCAGCAATCTGTGGTACCAAAGCTGCAGCCCAAGGACCACATTCTGCCAGCTTCTTTTGGCTCAGAAATTAACTTTCTAGCTGGGCAAGGGTGGCACATGGGTGGCACATGGCTGTAACCTCAGCATTCTAGGAGGCCAAGCCAGGAGAACTGCAAGTTCAAGTCCAGTCTGGGTAACTTAGTGACTTAGTGAGAACCTGTCTCAAAATAAAACTTTTACAAAAAGGGGTGGGGAGGCAGTGCAGTGCTAAGGTCCTAGGTTCATTCCCCAGTACTAAAACGAAACCAAACCTCAACTTTGTATCTCTTTCCCCAAGAGGGTCTCAGCACCAGCACACACACTGACTCAGTTCAGTTCCCACTGATGGCTGTGATTCCTGAGGGGGTGGCAAGGGCTTCCTGGCAGTTGCCATTCAGAACCCTGGGAAGGGCTCGGGTTTCATTATTACAATAAAGTCACTGACAAGAACATAAAATTCTCTGCAGGGAAAATAATCACAGTGATCCAAAAGTGGCATACTGTAACAATATCAATAGTGGGGGTAATAATAGTAATAACATGATTATAATATAATGTCATCTGCCCTAATGTGCTAAACCCAGATTGATCTGAGTAATGTAAAAGAATTACTGACATGCACAAATGCTCAAAAAGCCTAGCTTCGATGTGTTTGGGGCCATTCGGGTGATGGCAATGGTGGCAATGATTATAATAAACACATTTGTAAGTGCTTCTCGCCAGTTTTATTTTAGCAGCAGCCCGGGAAGTAGGCGAGGTGGGTGGGCAAGCTTCCTTGGTTTATAGCTGAGTACACATGCGTGGGGCACTTGTTGTATGCAGGTCAGAGACTGGGCAGGGGCCAGGATAGGGCTGTAGATAAAATACAAGTTAGACAAACATTTAATACAAATTAAAATGGAAATTAGATTGGATTTCAGAGAAACTACATATTATTTTGTTGTAAAGCTATGTTGTAAATACTGCACCAGCCATATTCATACTAAAAAAAATACTCATTATTCATCTGAAATTCAGATTTAATAGGGTCCTGTGTTTTTATTTGCCAAATCTGGCAAACCCTCCTAGGAAAGGAAGGAGGGAATAAAAAGAATAACACATGTTTCTTGTGCTCAGAACAAGCTGGCACTCTAGGAGATAAAAGACCTCAGACAGATGATTCTGACCTATGCAATCCATGGTGTGGTGTAGCCCTTCCCAGATGTGTGTGAGCATGAAATCCCCTTGGGGAGCTTGTGCACCTCCAACCAGCATCCAGGTGATGCGATGGCCCCTAGTCCCTGGCCACACCCTTAGGAGGGAGGGTGACGATGGAGGACCTCAGGCTCCCTTTGGGGGTCAAAGCAAAGCTTCCTGAAGACAAGGGACCTGGTAAGGCTTGCTGGGTAGGAGTAGGGGGCCGAAGTGTTCTGAGAAGAGAGAGCACTGTTTGTGGAGTCCGAGGGCCTGAGAAAGCATTGCAAACCTGGGAAGGGGAGTGGGTGGAGCGCAGCTGGAGAATGGACTTGCTGTTGAAGCAGGGCTGAACTCAGCATCAGAAGTTAATCCGAGTCCCCGTCCTCACAGACCACCATCAGCCATACTGGGTAGAGGTTGGGTCTCCAAGGGACCAGAATGTGCCAGTGTGGCCAGTGCTGGGTTGGAAGGATGCCCTGGCCTGTGGGAGCCGAGGGATGGACATTGCACTCTGCCTGAGTGTTGGGAAAGACATTCTGCATGACAGGACATTTGGCTTCAGGGTTTTGAAGGTGAAAGTTTTTTTTTTTGGTACTGGGGATCGAACTTGGGACCTTGTGCTTGCGAGGCAGGCAGCAGAACCACTGAGCTAAATCCCCAGCCCATGAAAGATTTTTTTTCCCAGGGGGAGAAGAACAAATATCCTGCTAGAGGGCCCAAGATGGAGATACAGAAGGCTTTGTATGCTTGGGAAGGGTGTTATGTCTTTGACAGCAGATTTCCTACTTGTCAGTGCGTTCCCAGTGCCTTGCATGGGGTCTTATGAAGGTAGGGCAAGAGGCCAGGCCCAGACTCTCCCCTAAGTCCTCACTCATTTCCCTTCATTTCTCTACACCATGGTGGGGACATCATGGCGGGGAAACTGGTTATTTTGGCGGATTTGGTGGGGTTCTAGAATCTGTGACAGTTATGTGGTATGTTGGTCACTGTCCTGCCAGTGGACAAAATAGTCATCACTCATAATTTAAAGGAGGAGAGGTTTGTTTTGGCTCACAGCTCTTGGAAGATTCAGTCCGTAGTCAGCTGGCTCCCAGGCAGAAAAATCCTGGTGGAAGGGCCTGGGTGGAGGACAGCTGTTTAATCCATGGGACCCAGGAAGCAGAGATAGGAGGGAGGACCCAGGGACAAGAATCCACCTTCTAGGTCACATTTTCACTAACTCACCTCCAGCCAGGCCCCAGTGCCTTACAGCACATTTAGCTATTGAACTTATTAATGGATGAATGCACCAATGAGCATAGTACCCTCATGATCCAATCACCCTCCAAATATATGAGGCTTTGGGAGAACATTTTTTTTTTTTTTTTTTTTTACTGGGGATCAACTGGGGATCAAACTCAGGTCCTTCCACTTGCAAGGCAGGCAGCGAAACCACTGAGCTAAATCCCCGGCCCCTGGGAGAGCATTTTTTATCTAAATCATAACATGTAGTCCTAGGGTGCTTCAGAGTTGCCACAGGCCTCTTCTGCTACTGTTCTTCTGTGTCGTTCTCTCCTACTTCCTTTAGTAGGGGTACATGGCCTCTTTGGACAAAATCTACATTTCCTGGCTTCTCTAGGTGTGATGCTGGTGCCAGATCCTGACCACTAGTACAGGCACAGTACAGGAAGCAGATACCATTCTAGACATTTCAGCAGGAAGAGATTTAATAGAGGGGATTGGATACTTACAAAGCTGTTGGCAAGGCTGAAAGCATGAAGGTAATGGGATGCTGCCAGGTTTTCTGGTCACACTGTGGAAGTTATGAACAAAAGGTCAGGAAGCTCCAGGAAATGGCTACCAGGGTCACAGCTGCCCCAGATGCCAGGTGACAAGACTGGAGGATCCAGCCTCAGTCAAAACTGCAGGACCTGCAGGCCAGCTCCTCCTACTTCAGCCTTCTTTCTGCCATCCAGAGAACACGTGAGTACAGATGCTGGAATTAGTCTCATCCACGGCTCTAGTGGCAAAGGAGCCTGAGGAATGTGGGGCTAAGGCTTCTAGGCTCTGTAATACAGTGAAAGTGTGGTGGAATGGGGAGACAGCATGCTGAATGCCAGCAGACGATGGTCACCATCACCACTTCCTGCCAGCTGGGATAAGGACAAGGAGACAGAGAATCATGGCAGCAGTCACAGAAATGCCACAGGAGCTTGGACCTTTGCATGAATGGGAAGTAACCTTGTTGAAGCCACTGTTTGAGCAGCCCAGCCGGTGTCCACTGTAAGATGTAAAATGAGGTCTGAGAGGTGTCATTTGCAGCAGGTCAGTGTTGAAGACACTGAGTATCAATTCAACCTGGCCTGGGCTGGGGATTTAGCTCAGTGGTTCCAGCGCCTGCCTGGCAAGCGCAAGGTCCCAAGTTCGATCCCCGGTACCAAAAAAAAAAAAAAAAAAAAGCACAATTCAACCTGGCCACCAGGAAGGCAGCAATAAATATTCCACTGACAGATGAAGGCTGTGAGTGGCTGATGCCAAATGGACTTTGGGTTTGTGCTCAGGGAAGTTGAAGAGAAAAGATGGGGTAGGGTGTGTTTGAGAAGACTTCCAGGAGGAGGCATAGCTGGAGATGGAGAGGAGAAAAAAGGCTTTCTGGGGAGGAGGAGAGACCGTGCTATGGATCTGCACATGGGCACAGGGCTGGGCCTCAGCAAGCCAACTGTCCTCTTCCCATCTTTGTGGAGTGCATGTGTTAGGAGGCATGCCAGGCCTAGTTGATCCAGCTCAGGGCTTATATAACGTACAGACCAGGGTCAAGCTTCTGTCTGTGGTCAAGGCGGACTCTTCAGGGCAAGACATGGTTGGGGACAGGGTCTAATTATTAGGTTTGGACAGGGACCCATCTGTGAGCAGGGTTAGGCTCAGAGCTTCATGTAGGACCCTTGCTGAGCTCAGTTCAAGCCAGAGTGGGGGTGTGGTTTTGAAGAGGAGAGTTTATCCCATACCAATGCATTCAATATCATTAGTTCCTCAGGTAATAAACCAAAACAAAAGGCTATCATAGTATAAATGTTATTTCCTCCTTTGCATCATGCTTAGGCTCCATTTGCCTTCTGGACTCTCTCTTTTCTCTGCCTGTGTCCCCTCAAATGGAAGAGGCTGTGCAGATCCCAGAGGAGAAATGCCCTGCATACTTGAAGCAAGTTCAGAAAGGGCTGAGCCCAGCAAGAGGCTGGTTGAGCAGATGCCCGCACAAGCAGCCGGGTGCACCTGCAGCTCCCTGCAGCCATTTGGAGACAAGGCCGTGGTCACCCTGAAACCTACAGGCAGGTGGGAGGTGGGCAGGCGGACAGCCGGCGGGAGTTGCTGGCAGCTAGTTTGACCCAGGTTTGGGCCTTGGGAGGCCGCCAAGGCTGTTTAGTTGGGGTAGAGAGTGGAGGTAGTGATTGCTCAGCATGCTCTGCAGCAAGCCCCAGGGCAGGTGTCAGCAGTTTGCCAGTCCTGAATGATGGAGTCAGGAACTACTGAGTATCCCGGAAAGGGCAGGGCCCCCCAGGCCCTCATGGGCATGCTCAGCTGCTGAAGGAAACATGAAGTGACAGTAAGTGACAAAATGGAAAATGTAATTAAGACAGATGGAACTCACTGGCGGCAATGATAAAAGCCATTCCCCAGGCTCTGGTATTTAAAGTGAGGTCACACTGGGGCCAGGGATTTAGCTCAGTGGTGCTGCCGCCTGCCTCGGAAGCGCAAGGTCCTGAGTTCGATCCCCAGTACAACAAAAAAATAAATAAATAAATAAAGTGAGGTCACAGGACAACCCCATCCTGGCCATACAACCAACAAAGAGGAGGCAGGGGAATGAGTTTGAGCACAGAGGGAGGATGGTGAGGGAACTGTGCTTTGGCTACTCTGAAAGAGGCTTAGGGAAGATACAAGGATGAACTTCCTAGAGATGAGGGTGGTCAAATATTGGCATAAGTCATGACATCTCCTTTTCCAAAGGACACATCTACCCCTCCTGCACAGGCTTGGTCACAGGGGCCTGGACCACTTGACCTCCCCAAGATCTATGGGGTTAAGCAATGGCTCTGTTATCACACAGGAGGAAGTGGATGGCATCTGGGTAGAGAACAGGAAGGGGGCTCAGTGGGTGACAAGCTCCAGGAGGTTTCCTGCTGGCCAGAGACAGTGTCACAATGCTTGCACCTGATCCATGAGGACATCTCCAAAGACCCTGTCCTTGGTTGGGCCAGGACTTGGTGGACATCAGTACCACTCCCTGAGCCCCTCGAGGAAATAGCTTGGACTGTCCAGAGGCTCTAACGGAGAGAGACCCAGGACTCATGGTGACACTCTGTCTGGATTGTCACAGGGGATGAGGTGGCTGGAATCTGTGGGCTTAGCACCAACATCTGGTCAGGTCTGCTTTGCCAGCCTCCACTAACAGAGCCAGCTTAGCTTTTCTCTGACTGATGAAACTGGCCAACTTTACTGGCCCCAATTCTCCCTACATCCTGTGCCAGTTCTCTGTGCCGGCCAGCAGAGCAGGCTGAGAAAGTGACTTCTTCGTGTTTGGCAAACTCCCAGGTTGTGGGGAGAGAAGAGACTCGTACTCCAATGCAAGGTTGCTGATCTGTTCTCATTTATTGAGCATCTACTCTGTGCATGGGAAGGGCAGGGGTTCACAGTGAAGCTTAAGGTAATACTTTAAGAAGCTTATAGTTTTGTTGGGAATTGAAACCTACAAAGCCATCAGACATGGGCAAAATATTGAGGTATTAACTCAAGGTGATGCGTGGTTCATGTGACAAGAAAGAAGGCAGGATCTGGGGGAAAGAAGAATTCAGTGCAGCCTGGAGTGGTCAGAACAAGCCTCTTAGAGGAGGCAGAGCTGAAATCTGACTTTTTCAGGAAGAGAAAAAGGAAGGCTTGGAGGATTAGAAGAGCAGAATGCATCCTGGGTGGGCTCAAGGCAGAAGTAAATGTGTGGAGATGGAAAAGAGCACTGAGAATTTTTCTTCCGAATGTCAGGACAGAACCAAGGTCAGGGAGTAAAAATAGATTCTTGAGTGATCCCAGCAGATCTGAGGCCACTATGGTCGTATGTTTCTCTGTAAGATGTGCCTGTGCCTAGATAGGACGTGCCTTTCCCAAGAGGATACATCCTTCTCCAGCATGTCCTACATGCTCACGGTCAAGGGGAAAGGACTCTGCAGCCCTCATTCTTGAGCCCTTGGGGCAGGTTCCCCAGGCTACAGCAAATAACACCAGATGGAAGTAAATGATATCCCCTGCTGTACTGATATCCAGGGACCGAAGTCAGTCATTCTGGATCCCCTCCCACAAACAAGAGGTGATGAGATGCGTGGGATGGACAAGTATGAGACTTGTGCCCTGAGCCCTCCCTGTGCACCAGGAGTGCACACCAGCAGTGAGCTGCTCTGACTCTGAAGCCAATCCTGCCGGTACCCCATTGCCAGGCAAGATGTAATAGAGACAGGTCGATCCACCATCCCGGGACTATCTTTCATGGCAGAACATGTCCTTGTTATGGATACTGAGCATAAAACAGGCCAGCATTATCTGCATTGGAGAGACACTTCCTCACTTCAAGCACACCATCTATTCCTCCGTCACAGGCCTAGCATTTATGCCTGCAGCCAGAACTCAGATATCAGATCAAGATTTACTGAGGGTGTTAAGTCATAATTTATGCCACTCTCCTTCCCTTGTAGGGACAGTCTTCCTACGACAGCTCTGTCTCCTTGACTTGCTGTTCTTGATGTGTGTCGCTTATCTACTTGCAGCCCCCTTTGGGGAGGGTTTTCTTCATCATCTGCCTCAACCCCATGAATCAGGCTCTCTCTCTCTCACTTTGGGGAAGCCCTTGGTTCTGACCTGAGTGCAAGACCCCAGAGCGTAAATTCTACAATAAGAGGAGATGAGTCCCTGTCCTGCTTTGGTCCTGGCTGCCCCCAAATCTGAGCATTGTAGGACAGTCCCTCACCTACAACAGCTCTCGGGAACATGGCAATTTCAAGTCCCAGCTGTGTATGGCTTTAAGACGTCACTTTTTTCAGTCAGGGCTTTCCTCTTCCTCTCCATGAAGTCAAGGGGCTTATAGATGAACTGTACCTCTTGTTGCCACTGCATACCTGGGGGCCAGGTGTCCTGGGCATGTCAGCTCCTTCAGGGCTAAGCCTGGCCACCACAGGTGTTCCAGGGGGAAGTCCGAGATAGGTAGTGAGGCTGGGGCCATGAAGGTGACACTCCTGGTCACCTTGCACATTGTAGGGATCCCAGAGGAAGTGTTCTTATTGGGGGGATGGGGCTGGAGCACTGCTGATTACCCTACCTTTTCCTCTACTCTCATTTTCTTCTTTACCTTCTCTTCCTCCTTCCCTGTCTATTATGGTTTGAATAAAACACTGTCTTCCAAAAGGTTCACGTGTTCAGAGGTGGGGGTTTTGGAAGGTGACTAGATAGTGGCTTGATCCATTGATGAGTTCATTGCTGAATAGGCTGTTAGGAGGTGGGGCCGGGCTGAAGAAAGGAGAGCATGCTTTTGAAGGCCACATCGCTTCTCGAGCTCTGTCCTTTTCTTTCTGCTTCCTGACTGTCGTGAAGTGAGCAGCTTTCCTCTGCCATGATGTTTCTGCCTTGGAGCCAGCTGACCATGGACTGAAACGTCCAAAACTATGAACCAGAATAAATCCTCCCTCCTGTAACTTGTGAATGTCAGGGATTTCATTTCAGCAATGGAAAGGTGACTCAGACACTCTCCCTTTTCTTTCTCATCTGACTTCTGCC